GATTAAGACTGCAATATATATAAATAATAAAATATATATACACCACATATAAATACTCAATATTAATAGAATAATTAATGAATTAAATATCTTACAAGTGGGTTCGAATCTGTTGGCCCAATTTCGAGCTCTCTGTGATCACTTCGAAAAATAAAGGCAATAGTATTAGTATTTTAGATTAGGTATACTCGAATTAGGGGCTCGATTGCGTATCTTGAAACAAGGTGAAAATTTCAAAAGTGAGGAAATTTATTAGAGTATCTACAATTTTATTTGTTGAAATCTAGTAAATCTGCCCACTTTTGTAATTTTCACTTTGTTTCAAAATACACAATCGATTTCCTGGACAAAATAAGTTCGAATTCTCTATGAGTACCTCAAAAAACAAGAATGTTACTTCCAAATAGACTCGAACCTATACTCCGTCCAACGAGATTGAGAGTGGTTCTGCGCATAGGCGAGCAAAATGGGGGTAAAGTCCCTAGAGACTGGCGTACCGTATATGTAACATTTGTAAATAGATGTTTTGTGAGCGGAGACCTGCGCGAGACGGACGAGTTTACTTCCATAATCTACTCAATCTCTCGTTAGACGGAGTACAGATCAAATACGTTCGAACCTTCTATGAGTACTTTACTAGAAATTTAATGTGTAAAGCATAATATGTGTGTACACACAAATATCTCTTTATAACAATTTTACATTATAACTATATTATGATAAGATATTCGAATACTACTTGTAAAAGATTTGATTTTTTATGATAAAAACTACTAGATAATTACATTTTAAATCCTGCAAGCACTATTCTAAAATTAAAAACTAACTAACTTGGGATTCAATTACTTTACAAGTACAGTGTATGAAATATTATTTTTTATAAATTTTACTCGAATCTAAGAAAATGTAATATAATTATTATTGGATTGGACTCAGATTTTTAACATATTGAACTTGATCCCATCCCTAATATAATAATATACAGAGTATACCAGACCTGTTGTGTTACTTGTTAATGGCAGATACCTGAGATTATTTTGAGACGAAAACCTTGTCATTAAAATGCCGAGACTGTAATAATTTTTAAATGAGAAGTGTTCCAAGTTGGCCAATCAAATTGTCCATTTGCGCGCTTGGTCATGTCCCATTGCATAGGCTGCATTCCGATATTCATTGTCAGCAACTTTCAGTACTGAAAATCTATAGTATACGTGACGTAAAATATAGATTTGCAGTACTGACAGTCAATATCGGAATGCAGCCATAGTAGTGAAGGTGTTTTAGTTCTAGAGAAAGAATGAATAAATAGGGAAGAATGAATAAATTGATATCTTCACTACATAGAGATATAAGAATAAAGTGCGCGAGTCATATGTTAACACGTAAGAGGCTGCGATATAGGAATAGAAAAAGAACGCTGCATATAGGCCCTTTCTGTCTTTGTCTACGCGCGCATGCGAAACAAAGACAGAAGGGGTCCATATGCAGCTTTCTCTTTCTATTTCTATTTCGCTTTTTCAGCTCGCTCGCGCACTCTTCTTATATCTCTATGCTTTACTACTATGCAATGGGTGCATTCAGGAGCATGACCGCTCACTGAGCTGCTAAGTAGCAATAGAATGTGATTGGTTCTTTGGATCCAACCAATCACACTTAATTGCTACTTAGCAGCTCAGTGAGCGGTTATGCTCCTGGATGCACCTGTTGGGACATGACTGAGCGCACAAGTTTCGGACAATTTGATTAATCAGTTTTGAACACTTCTAATTTAAAAACTATTATAGCCTCGGTCTTTTGGTGTTAATTTCGTCTCAAAATGATCTCAAGTATCTGTCATTAATGGGTGGCATGGTAGGTCAGGGACACACTGTATACAATATAACATGTAGCAAAGAAACGTCAAACTTTTATATTGCAAGTATACCTGGTTAAAATGGAACCAACATCCATGTATTGCAGCTACAGGGAAAAATTCAGATAACGTAGCTATCGCTGCTTTTTCGTAATCTCCCATAATGAATTTTACATTGTTCTGTAGTGCTGGGGCAAGCTCAATTATCTTTTCCCAAATTGCTCGATAAAAAGCTTTAGTTCGCGATTCACATAAAGCAAAGATGGTTGCAATTCCCTGTGAAATATTGACATGTAAATAATTTGACACATGATTTCTAGACAAGAAAAGTATGCAATTTTTTAAAAACTTGCAACTTACCGTATTCATATAACGAATATGAATGGTATATAACTGAATTATATTCGGTTTCCGAGGAACAATCTGTAAATATATTAATTGTTAACAAATTATATAAAATTCATTTGTTTGTGACGAGTGAATAATTACTGAAGTTACCAAAAATGTTCCATCAACAAATAATTCTGTACTTTCATTCAACGCATCAAGCAATTCATTGTTTGAAAATAAAAATCCCATGCTATTATCTTCTGCGATTACAGTCCCTTTATAGATATCTTTGCATGCATCATACTTTTCAAGCTCCAAACTGAGAGATGCGAAAGAATTTGGTACAGGCGGTTTGTACGCAGCTCGCATTCTGTTCAATGTGCTTTTAATAGCAGGATAACTTAAATGCATTGCTGCTTCAGGATCACTGAAATAAAAAGTTGATATACAGTAGAAATCACACAAAAATAAGTATTCAGTACTAAAATGTTACAAATTAAAAATTTATTTAATGAAATAACAGAATAGTAGTAACGTAACGCATATATTTTAAAGATAACAAAATAAATAAATAATTATTAACAAAAAATTGCATTGTATTTTATTGCGGTTTGATTATATAAATTTATCACTTTTTATAAATAAGTAGTCATGTAACGAAACAACCTTCAAAAATTATATAATATAAATAATTTAAAGTTAGTAGCGTGTTGAACCTCCCTTTGCTTCGATCACAGCCTTTAAACGCCATGGTATAGAATCAATTAATGTTTCTAAAACATATATTGGTCAATTTTGCTTCATTCCTTAAATACAGTCGTTCTGTATTCTTTAAGATTCTTTCTCTTTGATTTTGGTATTCTACGATCTAATTCATCCTATATAGCACTTATGGGATGAATTAGATCGTAGAATACCAAAATCAAAGAGAAAGAATCTTAAAAAATACAGAATGGCTTTATTTGAGGAATGTAGCAAAATTGACCAATATGTTTTAGAAACATTAATTGATTCTATACCATGGCGTTTAGAAGCTGTGATTAAAGCAAATGGAGGTTCGACACGTTACTAACTTTAAATTATTTATATTTGATAATTTTTGAAGGTTATTTTGTCACATGACTACTTATTTATAAAAAGTGATCAAATTATATAATCAAACCGCAATAAGATACAATGCAATTTTTTTTGTTAATAATTATTTATCTATTTTGTTATCTTTAAAATATATGCATTACGTTACTACTGTTGCTATTTCATTAAATAAATTTTTAATTTGTAACATTTTAGTACTGAATACTTATTTTTTATTCCTACTGTACAAAGCAATGCCTAATAATGTAATAATTAATAATTAAAAACTATTGCTTGAAAAAATGTCATTTGTTTATTATACTAACCTTTCACACACATCATCAAATATTTTTTTTATAGGCTGTATACTCTCTTGGCAAAGACGATATATTTCTTGTTTTAATTTTGATGTACGTGCCACCATGTCATTAGGAGGATGATCATGCAAAGAGGTAACGGTTACTTGGCCATCTTCGCTGACTATCGCTAATCCTTGACAGCCAATGTTACGACGAGTCGAACATCTGTATGTACCTTCCAAACGTTTGTCAATGTGATAAATATATCTTTCATAAATGTAGACGGTACTGTTTTTAAATTTGCCTTTAATTGCTTCCATGTTTTGTAACTTAATAACACTAATTATCTTTGTCACTTTCAAATTACATTGGGCGATAATTACTTTGCCTATAAAGCCATAAAAAGGCTTAATTATAAGAGCTTTTGAAACGAATAAGAAATTTTTACGGAAATGTATGAGAGCTTTTGTAACGGATGAGTAATGGTTCCTGCACACGATATACGAAAACAATTGCCGCGCGGCAAGGAGCGACGCAGTAGGGCTGCGTTCGAAAACGTCACACGAGTGCACACGAGTATACTCCCTTCTCTTTCTATCTCAGCGAGTTAGAAGGAGAAAAGAGTATACCCGTGTGTACCCGGGTGATGTTTCCGAACGCAGCCTAGCCAATCAAAGTAGAACTTTTTTCGCGGCGAAAGATTTAGTTGGCTGACGCGAACTTCCGCCGCGCGGCATGTGTTACCGCATCCCGTATGCAGGAGCCATAATTTTGCAACAGAAGTGTCTCTCTCTCTCTCTCTCTCTCTCTCTCTCCTTCTCCCTCTGTGTGTGTGTGTGTGTGTGTGTGTGTGTGTGTGTGTGCGCGCGCGCGCGCGCGTGCGTGCGTGCCCGCGTGTGTGTGTGTGTGTACATATGTGTAAATGTTTGTGTAGGTCCGCGGTATATAAACGACCGACAAATAAACGATAAATAAAGAACACTATAAAATAGTAGGAGATTGATCAATGCCTAACATTCGGCGCGTTCAGTAAACAAAACAGATCAGTGAGCGCTCAGTAATTCATTATTTATTATAATTAGTTCCTACATTTAGATACAGCAAAGAACTAAAGGCAACAAAAAATTGTATTAAAAAATCACCGAACGCTCACTGAATGGCTGTGTCCTTTGAGGGTCGATTGTGTATATTAAAATGAGATAAAAATTACAAAAATGAACAGACTTACTAAATTTGGCAAATAAAATCATAGACATTCTAATAAATTTCGTCACTTTTGTAATTTTTATCTCATTTCAAGATACACAATCGACTCCCTGATTCTTTACTACAGAATCTCTAAGCAAAAATTTTTGTATTTTAATATTGCGCTGTAACAATATATCCGTACTAGTGTAAATTATCCGTTGCTATATTTTTACATGGTAAAGAATCAGTTTCATTAATCAAAGATTCGTATAAGTATCTTCAGATCCTCCACAGAATTTTTACTCAGATTTGGATATGCGTATAATTGCTACAATTATTTGTTTCTACTTACTTTAGACAGTAAAACTTTCCTTCCAACGATAGTCATCTAATTTACCAATAAACATACGTAGAAATTGTTGAAGAAGTAATCTAGAAAATATTGTGAAATACAATATCAATATTAACCTAAAATAATATAAATATAAAAAAGTAAGTGCCGTTTTACCTTCCAGATATCAGATCGATTTGTGTTTCAAAAATTTTCACATCTCTTTCTATACTTTTTCGTGATCGTACAGACCGTACTTCTTCATTATTGTGCAAACGCTTTAAATCAATTGTTTGATCCATTATGACATTTCCTAGTTTCTCTAAAATTATTAAATAATTAAAATTAATTTATATATTATCTTGGCATTAATATTTATTACTTTTTCTTTTTTCTATTATTTTATTAAGAGAATGTAGATATTAATTTAGTATAATTTATTGTATCTTACCTACCTAAAAACAACCACATGTTTGGATGATGGTCGCCCAATTTTTTATTTATTACATTACAAAAACTTTCAACAGCATTGTTTGTTTTGACAGGGCATTCATACACGCTTATTTTTAAAGCCTTAGATAACCACGTCTTTTCAACGTAAATTAAGAATTCTTTTATCTTCTCATAGTCAGGGTCATTTTCTTCACAAGTATTGCATAATATATGATAGGCTTTTGTAAAGTACTGTTCTGGCAGCAATGGTATTGTCATTGTCATAGACAGTATAACACTGGGAGAATTACGTAAACCTAAATAATTCCACTTTCTTTGTGGTGCCTGCAATAACAAGCATAAATAATTAATCAAAAAATGTAATTAGTAAATAAATTAAAGAAATAATTTTAAATTTAAATACTTGGTTCAGATGAAACCAGCATCCATGTAAA